AGAAATGTTCCATTGTTTATCTTGTTGATTTGACGTAAAGAGAATGGCAAGAAGGCCAACTAAGTTTTATAGTAAACAAAAACAACGTTTTATTATAATTTCAGTGATTGTGGTCAGTGGGCTAAAAAGGAAAAAAAAAAAAAACAAAGGTTTACTGGCAAGAAGTTTGAAATATTTCAAAATGACTTCCACTGGGATTTATTGGGTTTTTGTGGTATAGTTTACATGTCAGGTCATCGAATGTTAGTAAACGGACTGCTCTGAAACAGATTTCTACAACAACTGACTTCAAAAACCAATTCACTTAATTTTGGCACCAACCAATGAATATGAATACCCAGATGAAAGACCTTCACTTTGTAAGGTCAACCGATTACATCAAAGAATTCTTCGAAGTCTTTTATCTAACGACGCAGAACTCGGAGAAGTTTCATTCATAAAAATAGATTCTCTTAACACTTGGAAATATACAAAATGGCAGCTACTTTCTGGGCTGGTATAAGGAACTGATCATTTTTTTCAGTGTCTTTGTAAATGGATTGTATATATGAGTTCCACTTGCAGTTTGGGGTGGGGATGGGGGGAACTTGGTTCCCAAAAGAGGCTCAAAGAAAAACTGGCTTGTCATATTTATTTTATGAACTGTTGAAAATATTGTCTAAAATTTAAAGAAATTTTTTCCTCAATGTGGTATAATCTAAATGTAAACTATTTTTTATATTTTGTAATAAAAGTTGCCTGGTAAAGATTATTTTCTTCTTTGGTTTCTATATTTCTATAAGTTACTATGAGAAGGTTGAAGTAGCTCTTAAATTTGGTTAGTTTTTTGCTTTTAAACTTTGATAGCATTAACTTTATATCACCCAAACATCAAAATAATGAACTTGAAGATAAACAAACTACTTTGAACTTTTATTTGACAGCATTTTTCCTGTTTTATGAAATAATTTTAGTGCTCATTTTTTTTTAAAAAGAAATGCTAGAAACCTTTCATAAAAATTAAGCAAAAGAAAAAAAAAATCACTAAATTTTTTATCTTTCCAGGGATAATATGGGAATGATTGTCTCAGTTCTCCAAAGAGTTAAAAGTGATTTATGAAATTTTTATTTCATGCAAAAGAATTTTTATTTAAATTTTTTTTTTTTTGCAAAATTTCATTGATTTTTTTTTTTCTGAATCATATTCTCAAAATGTAAACATTTAAATATCTGATGCTTTTTTTCTACCTTGCATTCTGGACAAAATTTAATTGATTTTTCTTTTGTCCTTTTTCTCAAGTGATGCTGCAAATCAATAAAACAATTTAATTTGCTTCAATAAACTGTTTCACTTACAAACTAGCACTCATGTTTTTATAAGATTAAAATTCTTGACTCATTGTATAATGTTAGGGAAATCTGAGAAGTGTTTTTGAAATTTAGTCAGCTTGTGGTTTACCCCACTTTACTAAAAAAAAAGTGTTGCTAGGGGATGCTCCTTAAGCATATGTGAATAGGCAATAACATTCTCAGTCATTTTCTTTTCCTCTGTTACAACTCTGGTTATAAGGTGTAGTCGTACATGGAAAAAAAAGTGTCCCCCACTGGGGCATATTTACTTTAGTTTCAATGTATTACTCTTCTGTCGGACATTTTGTACTCTAACATATGCATGTCTATCATGTAAGCCTGCACACATTCCCCAAACACACATTTTCTAATTTAAATGTTTTCTATATAATTAGTCTTTAAATGTTTTCTTCTTTTATTGTCATTGTATACTTTTGTTAGTACATAGAGTGTAACAGCAAAATTGTCCAAATTGTATAACAGCAAAATTGTCCAAATCGTGTGACAGCATAATTGGCCATCCCACAAAATGTCTTTTTTTTTTGTTTTACAGCATATCAACACCTAAATGGGTTATTTAATGCCAACAAGATTTTTAGTGCCGGTAATGTTTTTTTTTCAAAAATGTATCACTAGTAATAATGTATTGCTGGTAATAATTTTTCTTCAAAAATTCATTGCTGCTAATAATATTTTACAAAGTATTTCTGGTATTAAAATGTATTTTTACACTTTCATAGTGTTTTGATCCCAGTTTGGGGGTTAACTATTTACCCATAGTTAGGACCCTAACAGGTGCTACCACTCCGGGTCAGGGTGGACCTGAGAACACCAGCAATTAAGAGGTGGTTTCACACTCTTCAAAACCTCCTGATCAGAGGCCTTGATGTTGGATGTATTTTATTGTCTTATTCAGGACGCGGATGTAGGTTATCATCATACCCAGGAAGGAGAAAATGTTTAATATCTAAAAAAAACACTAAACTAATTGAGTTACTTTTTTTCAGGTTTTCAGATCAGGTGTTTTGCCATCTTGACACCATTTGTCAAGAATCATTGAAAAACCCTTTAAGTTATTCAGTTAGAAAGAGAACAGGTTAAAAACATTTTGTATCAGCCCCACTGTCTTCTCAACTGAGCAATGGTGAGAGGAAAAAGATCAATCAGGCCTTCAGTAATGTTCATACTCTGGCTTCCATCTTCAAAGTCCATCCAAGAACCATCAAGAGAACGGTAAATAAGTTTAAAAAGAAGAGAAGGAACAGTAGATAGGAAAACTGGATCAGGAGGTCACAACAGGAAGAGGGATCATCATTTCAACTCAGAGTTAAAGAGATCAATTAGAAAAGATCCAACTCAATCCATAAGATGTTTGGCATGTGAGAGTTTAGTTTCAGCTATGACAGTGTAAGAGCAGTGAAAAAATACTTGAAAATGAAATTGTATGTGAAACATGTGAAACACCTTCTTACTCTAGGACAGAAAGTTAGAAGGCTAGAGAGGGCGAAGATCATCTTGAATAAGGTGGAAAATGATCCTGAAATAATATATATATATTTGAACTTTATTTCAATCCTTCATGAGTTTCTGATATTTAGCTATGATTAACTAGTGATGAATAAGTCATTTTCATTCATGATTGATTTCACCACAATTCTTCTGTTAAGCTTGGAGAGTAATTATACATTTTGCTCAAAGTATAGTTTAGTAGTGTGATAAAAACCTTGGAGAATTCTAGTAAGATATCTTTAATTAATTTCTAAGATACAACAGTTCAAAGTTTAATCTAACAATTGGACAATTTTGCTGTCCACCCGGTACATTGTCATTTGTTTTATATACTATTTTCTGTTATTCATTTATTACTCAGACTCACATTTGAGCCCGCAATAATTGTCATGTGAAAAATATACCAGGAGACACATGTTTTTTACATAAACACAACATGCATTCCCACAACAAGTTGTTTATTTCTTGAACATCCTTGAAGAAATGTAATTTTACTTTTGTCTGATTTCTCCCCAATTTTTCAGTTAGGGGACCTTTCTTAATGCCTGTCAGGTTTGGTTTGGTTTATTTTATGGCATATCAACACCCAAATGGGTTATTTAATGCCGACAAGATTTTTAGGATAGGTTCATATGAATAGAATATGTATTCTTTGTGAGAAATCAGTTTGGTTTGGTTTATTTTATGGCTTATCAACACCTTAATGGGTTATTTAATGTCAACAAGTTTTTTAGGTTAGGTTTGTATGGATAGAATATGTATTCTTTGTAAGAACTCAGTTTGTAGATCGAGTTTCATTGATATATTTTTGTAAAGAGGGTTTTTGTTGAAAGTCAAATATATTGCTGGTAATATTTTTTTTTCAGTAATGCATTGCTGTTATTTTTACTATAAAAATCTATTTTTATACTTTCATAGTGTTTTGACCCCAGTTTGGGAGTTAACTATTTGCCCATAGTTGGGACCCTAACAGGTGCTACCACATCGGGTCAGGGTAGATCTTGGAACAAGAGCAATTAAGAGGTAGTTCCAGGCTCCTCAAAACCTCCCAATCAAAGGCCTTTATTATTACACTCAGAACAACCTGCTAGGTGGTATTCTATAAAAAGAACAGGCACAAACCCTCTTCCTCTCTTCAACCACAGAATGCTGTATTGACAAGACATGTTTTGTTTCCCCTCTTGGAAACTTAATGTCCAGGCATTTGTTCCATGGAAAACTATATGTAATATAGAAACACATAGGGGTATATCCTCTAGCAGGTCTGGAAGTGTGTTCGAAATAAAGTCCATGTAGACAGCTCCTGTAAGACGTACTAGGAGAACATATAAACCTACCAGACAGTCACATACAGTTCCAGCCCATACATTAATCGTAAAATGATGCTGGTGTCTAGCCTGTATTGTACCATGAGGATTCCGATCTGCCCACAAATGTTGGTTGTGTAAACTTGTTATTCCATATCTTCCAAATGTTGCCTCATCCGTAAACAAGACTGAAGAGACAAACAACGAATCGGCAGTTTCTGCAATAAAGTTCTCCCGTGGTGAGTGATCAGATGGCAAAAGAAAATGTACACATTGCAAAAGACATGGATAGAGGAGCTTCTCCATGCAGTACACTATGAGATGTACAACATGTTAGGGCCACTTGATAGGTGCTGATACCTGGATTGTCTTCAACAGCCTGCAGGATGTGTCCTTCGTGGTCAGGCGTATGAGCAGATCTCAGTCTTCCTTGATCCATAGTTTGTGGTGCCACATATCCTGTCTCAGCAACACAATGATGAACAGCAGCAAAGATTGGATGACTCGGCTGCCTTTGGTCTGAAAATACAATCTGTTAGAGATGTGCAGCCTTGCAGCCATATGTAAAATCATATCTGCCTTCTCACGATATGAATATCCTGCCATTGTTAAACGGAACACTTCTCATTTAACTCACTACTACACATGATGAAAACAGACTAGCCACATATGTATATGAATGACAAATGTAACCTAGTCTACATGGCATCACAGCGCTATCTATCGTAAACCTTCTTTAAACTTAATAACTCAGAAATGAAGAATTTACTGACATATGTTTTTATGAACTTTTGGTCTTGTTTTGGTGTGAGGAACCAGCCCCCAAAGTTTGTGAAATTATTTTTGATACACCCTTTATAGAGAGAGAAGGAGTGAGATAGATAGATAGATAGATAGATAGATAGATAGATAGATAGATATATAATAAATAGTAAATAATATTAAATATACTAATATATTAATAGTAATAAATAGTAAATAATATAAAATATACTAATATGTTAAATAGTAATAAATAGTAAATAATATTAAAATATACTAATATATTAATAGTAATAAATAGTAAATAATATAAAATATACTAATATGTTAAATAGTAATAAATAGTAAATAATATTAAATATACTAATATATTAAATAGTAATAAATATATTAATATAATAAATAGTAAATAATATTAAATATACTAATATATTAAATAGTAATAAATAGTAAATAATATTAAATATACTAATATATTAAATAGTAATAAATATATTAATATAATAAATAGTAAATAATATTAAATATACTAATATATTAAATAGTAATAAATATATTAATATAATAAATAGTAAATAATATTAAATATACTAATATATTAAATAGTAATAAATAGTAAATAATATTAAATATACTAATATATTAATAGTAATAAATATATTAATATAATAAATATTAAATAATATTAAATATACTAATATATTAAATAGTAATAAATAGTAAATAATATTAAATATACTAATATATTAAATAGTAATAAATATATTAAATAATAAATAGTAAATAATATTAAATATACTAATATATTAAATAGTAATAAATAGTAAATAATATTAAATATACTAATATATTAAATAGTAATAAATATATTAATATAATAAATAGTAAATAATATTAAATATACTAATATATTAAATAGTAATAAATAGTAAATAATATTAAATATACTAATATATTAAATAGTAATAAATAGTAAATAATATTAAATATACTAATATATTAAATAGTAATAAATATATTAATATAATAAATAGTAAATAATATTAAATATACTAATATATTAAATAGTAATAAATAGTAAATAATATTAAATAACTAATATATTAAATAGTAATAAATATATTAATATAATAAAGAGTAAATAATATTAAATATACTAATATATTAAATAGTAATAAATAGTAAATAATATTAAATATACTAATATATTAAATAGTAATAAATACATTAATATAATAAATAGTAAATAATATTAAATATACTAATATATTAAATAGTAATAAATAGTAAATAATATTAAATATACTAATATATTAAATAGTAATAAATATATTAATATAATAAATAGTAAATAATATTAAATATACTAATATATTAAATAGTAATAAATAGTAAATAATATTAAATATACTAATATATTAAATAGTAATAAATAGTAAATAATATTAAATATACTAATATATTAAATAGTAATAAATACATTAATATAATAAATAGTAATAATATTAAATATACTAATATATTAAATAGTAATAAATAGTAAATAATATTAAATATACTAGTATATTAAATAGTAATAAATACATTAATATAATAAATAGTAAATAATATTAAATATACTAATATATTAAATAGTAATAAATAGTAAATAATATTAAATATACTAATATATTAAATAGCAATAAATACATTAATATAATAAATAGTAAATAATATTAAATATACTAATATATTAAATAGTAATAAATAGTAAATAATATTAAATATACTAATATATTAAATAGCAATAAATATATTAATATAATAAATAGTAAATAATATTAAATATACTAATATATTAAATAGTAATAAATAGTAAATAATATTAAATATACTAATATATTAAATAGTAATAAATATATTAATATAATAAATAGTAAATAATATTAAATATACTAATATATTAAATAGTAATAAATATATTAATATAATAAAGAGTAAATAATATTAAATATACTAATATATTAAATAGTAATAAATAGTAAATAATATTAAATATACTAATATATTAAATAGTAATAAATACATTAATATAATAAATAGTAAATAATATTAAATATATACTAATATATTAAATAGTAATAAATAGTAAATAATATTAAATATACTAATATATTAAATAGTAATAAATATATTGATATAATAAATAGTAAATAATATTAAATATACTAATATATTAAATAGTAATAAATAGTAAATAATATTAAATATACTAATATATTAAATAGTAATAAATAGTAAATAATATTAAATATACTAATATATTAAATAGTAATAAATATATTAATATAATAGTAAATAATATTAAATATATTAATATAATAAATAGTGTGTATATGATGTTGTTAACAGTCTAAAAGTTGCCAAAAAATGAAAGCATTCTTAATTTCAAATTTCAGTTGCAGGTGGCATTTTGTTCCTACATTTAGTTAGACATTTGTTGTATAGGAGTAAAGTTTTACTGCTGACACTGGAGTTTGAACAGAGATTGCCAGTGAGCAAACATGGGTGATCCCATTTTGAAATAAGTAGAAGGTAGCGTGACGTCTAATTGATCACCATTTCTGTTCTATCCTCTATTACTATATGGATTGCTATTCTCTATACTATTCACTATACTGATCACTACATGGATTACTATTCAGTGATTACTTTTTGAGCGAGTACTATTAGTGTGAGTGTTATTCAAAGGAATCTGATACCAGTATTGTTCAATGGCATTACTATAGTTGTATCTGCAATTACAAAGTCTCTACTACAACGAGCATTACGAAAGTGACAACGAGTATTCATTGACATTACAAAAGTGGCAACAAGTGTTTGTTGATATCACAAAAACGTTCCTTCTGGTTGTCTTTTAGTTTAGGCAGTGATACTGATAGGTTTTTAATGTCGTGCATCTTCAGGACCCACAGGTGGTTATTTTTTTTATCCCTGGGAAATTCAGTGGATCCCAACTAATGTCTCTTAATAAATTGCAGTGTTATTAAGCATTATTAGTCTGACATGTTTCCACTTAATCATACCAACTTCAACAGATGCTGCAAAATTATCAAAGCTAATTATAACAAATACAGCTCTATTTGTTAATTAAAATGTTTGCACTAATAGTTTTAAAAAATACATATTTTTACAATATACAGAGTGTGGCAGAAATACCTCTCACATTAGTAGCAATGGTGTCTTCATCTAGTTAATGAAAATCTTACCCTTATGTAAGTGGAGAGGAACCTTGACCAAACACCTCAAGTCTGGGAAGGAGAAGCTGACACAAGTCGCAACGGAAAAGTGGGGGCCACAGAAAGCAAAGTGACAGCTCCAACAGACCAGAGACAGAACACACATGCAACCTCTGCAACAGAGATTGTCATGCCTACATCAGCCTCTACAGTCATAGATGTCGATTCTCCAGCCAAGCATACAACTAGGATGCTACCCATAGTTAACCCTGACTGACAGAGGCCTGTGTACCATTATGTGGAAGGTTTTTCTGGTGCACCTTATATTTAACAATAAAAATACAAAATTTAAAATGTTAGTAATTAGTAATTATTCCTATCCATCATAGTTCTAGTAGCGTGCAGAAATGGGGGTAGAGGGTGCTGCGGCCCCGGGCATCCATATTGGAAGGGCATCCAATCAAAGAGTGAAATAAAAATTTACTTTAATTTGAATTAAGTGTTTATTTCAGGCTCCATCTGTTTTTACATATTTAAAATGTTTTCCTTTCTCTTATTACTCAGTAATAGGCCTTATAACCCTCCCACCCAATACTTGAGTCTTAGTGGCATACAATCAAGGAGTTGGCCCTGGACATAACCAAACATCTGTTTCTACAAATTTAAAATGTCTTCCTTTCTCATATTTATCAGTACTAGATGCTATCATGTACATGAATTTCACACACCCAAAAACACATCTTCCCTCATGGTTAGTTTAAATGTTTTCTTCTTTTATCGTAATTGTATATTGATGTCATTCTTCTCCGTCAATACATTTAGTTAGTTGTTTATTTTATATTGGTTTGTTTTATAATTTTTTTACTTGGACTCACATTGAGTCTGCTATAATTGTTGCAGAATAAATATTTCAGGAGACATGCTTCTACTTAAACAGACTAGCATCATATAACATGTGTCGTTTTAGATTTTATATATCAGGAATGCAGGACACACACCTTGCACAATCTCTGTATATGGCTGGATACATTTATATATTTTTTTTTATTGGTATTAGGTAGTGGTATATTTCTTTGGTATAAGTTTTTTTAGTGTTGCTTTGCCTAAATTCTTCATTTTTAATATTCAGAGGGGTATTTTTATATTTGACACCAATCAAAATATTTTTTAATATTTTGTTATATTTTTCAATTTTTGCTGTTGCATAGCTTTTTTGGTTGCAGCTATTGTGAGAATTTTTTTTTTCTGAATGCTGTGGTGTTGGTTTCCTTGTTGGTTGCTGGGTCATGAAATTTGATAATTGTGTATTTGGACAGCAATGCCTTCTTACAGACAGAGTATTTATTAAAGGAGCATAATTATTAAAATTCTTGAAAATAGCTAACGAATTAGCTGAGCATTTTTGGAATCAACATAAATTTGGATAATTTCTACAAAATGAAAAAAGAAAAGACTTGTTTACATAAAAGAAAAATGTAATAAAAAACTGAACAAAAGTACCTTCTCAATCTTGTTTAAGAAAACATACACAAGTGCACATGTGCGTGTATACATGTGTGTGTGTGTGTGTGTATATATATATATATATATATATATATATATATATTATACTACTAGTAATACTGGTTTGAAAACCTAGGTAGAGTTGTTCCTGGCTCTTTATTTTATTTAATTTATATATATATATATATATATATATATATATATATATATATATATATATATATATATATATATATATATATATATATATATATATATATATATTTAACCAAATGGATAAATATATATAAATATACGAGTTTATATTTAATATAGTAAATAAAATATATATAAATATATATATATATATATATATGTTTTTTTTACAAACACTGGCTCGTATATTTATATATTTATCCATTTGGTTAAATATATATATATATATATATATATATATATATATATATATATATATATATATATATATA